AACAGAGATCTGTGTGGGTACATGAGACCCTAAAAAAGAGGGTGGGTCATGGGGAGTACCACCAGTTGGTCCAGGAGCTTCTCCTCCATGATGGCCGTTTCCAGGCATGTTTTAGGATGACTCAGGGGCGGTTTGACAACCTGCTGTCTATCGCCGGGCCGTATAGCTCTGGGTATACCACCAGTTTCTCCTCCATTGTTTACCAACTGTAAACTTGTTGTCGTGACCACCACAGGAGGGTCTCTTCTTAAATCATTCCATCAGACTATGGGAAAAAAGATGACGAAAACAGAGATGTCGCGAGGCGCTTTTCCGCTTTGAGTTGAAGTTTTTTCAACTTGAGGAGTTCAGAGTGCTTCTGCAAAAAGGCCAGGTGCCTAAAGCGCAGAAACATGATGCAAAAACAGCGAGCAAAAGGCTTATTCTCATCAAAAACTATTGCAAAAAGCCGCCTGTGGCTGCTAAAACGCTTTCTGTGTGATTATGCAATGACGGCATTGCTCCGTATTTTGTTACTGATTTGATTGAGAGAATTCTCACGGCAGGAAATTACATATTGTATGTAATCAAAACTTGGAACAGTGTTCTCTTGGAGTGGTAGCATTTAGATGTTGTGATGTATGTTCCTGGTTTACCCACTGTATCTCAACCTGCATCGTTTTTATTAGTTGTTTGCTTCATCTCCAAGATTGCCTTTCGAAATCACTTTAAGACTAGCCATTACTTGCTGCTTTCAGTCGAAGATAGATATTTGTGGTGAAAACACCGTATAGTTGGCTGCACAGACATGTCACTAATGACTACTGTCTCTAATGGCCGTCTTTCATTGTCATCTATTGAGGTCACTGTCAACAGAGAATCCATAATTGCCTCTTTTCTCTGTGTGTAACTGTTGAATGTCAGCACAGACTGGAGGCTCTTGATATTAGTTCTGAGGGACTGACCAAAACCTGGCGCTAACTACTGACGGTTGAGATCTTTGAATGTTTTGTTTTTGCATCAAGCTCCACTTTTCGCCACGCTAGAAATATCTCAGTGTGATGTCTCGCCATCTGTGTTCGGCCAGTTATTCATGAGGAAAAAGTAAAGCAAAGCAACAAACAACTAAAAAGCCCAGAAAATGGCAAAACGCTCCTATAATAACAAAATCCGTTCTCTTTAAAGCCTGAGGCAAATTCTTCAATTTATATCAGCTCCTTGTGGAGACATCTGATCCTCATAAGTACTGAAATATGCAAACACACACACAGACAAGCTGACAGGCGGCAGCTTGGCGCACACCCATAGGTAGAGACCCATCTCTCAACTGAGGACGACATATGAGCAAGAGAAAGGAGCCAGACACGTCTCTCCTTCCCCTCTCTCTCCCCTATGCCCTTCCCTCTCTCCCGCCTGTCTGTCAGAGAAGACCGGGGCCTTAAGTGTGTGTGACGCTCCCATCAGCCTAATTATCAGGGTGGAAGGAAGCACAACACTTCAGCAACAGCAGCAACAGCTCTCCAAATGTCCTCTACTGCCACACACAGCCATCCCCCGAGGAATAAGCGTGTGTGTGTGCGTGTGTGTGTGTAGATGGTTTTCACTTATTGAGTCAGTCAGTGAGTGTAAGCATGCATGTTTGACTGTTTAAGTAAGTGTGCCTGTGCATCAAGATTAAGGTTTAGAGTCTATTAAGAGTAGTGCTCAAGCATGAGCGAGTAAATGCATCTGACTTTCTCTTTTTTCTGTGTGTGTGTGTGTGTGTGTGTGTGTGTAGTGTACACCTGTGAGTGTAGGTATCACAGTGCAGGATTTCCTGTCTTTCTGCAGAGCGTGGCAGGTAGAGGACTTTGAAAGATAAGTTCTGGGCAAATTCTAACCCTCTGCTGAGATCAGAGTTTGTCCACAACTCGGGGGGACAGACGCAGAAAATGAATACCCTTCATGGCCAAAAGTATTCGGACACACAAACATTACACCCATACATGATTCTTGAACATCTTATTTTGTAACCGTGGGTATTAATGTGCTGCTATAACACGCCGTTTGACCAAATTTTGGAAGTTGGCTGCAGGAATTTGGTCCTATTTAGCCACAAGAGCATTATAAACATGTTCTACCAAAATTAGCATGTGCATGCGGGTTTTTAAACACAGGTAAACCCACTAAAAATAGTCTACAGACTTCTTTCCAATTGCCAGTAGACCATGTTTGATGTCATGGACAGGCGGGAAAACAGGTCAGCAAAAACGTTATGGAGGTTACTTCTTTTTAAACATCTCTTACTTATTAAGTTTCTCTTTCAAACTCGGTGCAGACCTATTTTGAAAGATGTTAGCACGTTCACACAGGTATTGTGCTCCCATCAGTGTCGAGCGGAGGTGGAGGGGATAAATACCTGTGACTACTGCAGAGTCATTTGACTCAGGTGTGAATGCCAATTAAAACATTTCCCATTGCAGTGAAAAGCCAGATGTTGTGTTGGTAGGTTCTTTGTGCAGTGGGAAAGTGGCTCTAGTGAAGTCTGACAATGATGTTGAGCTATAAGGCTTGCAGTCGATGTTCCACTTTATCTTTAAGGCACTGGATGGGGTTAAGGTCGGGGCTCCGAGCAGGCCGGTGAAGTTCTTCCGCACCAAACTGAGAATTGTTTCTTTTTTTAAGATATTTTTGAAGGCTTTTTTGTCTTAAATTAATAGGCAGTTGTTTTAGCATGAAGGGGAAGAGTAAAGGGGGATGACATGCAGCAAAGGGCCATAAATTGGAATCAAGCTTGCAGCCTTTGTACATGGGGCACTTGCTCTACCAGGTGAGCCAATGGGTGCCCTAAACTGGGAATCATTTCTTTATGAACTTTACTATTTGCACAGAAACATGAAAAGGTCCTCCCCAAACTGTTGCCACAAAGTTGGAGACACATTTTTGTTTAAAATATTATTTTATGCTGGAGCATGAAGATAATTCTTAAAGCGTGAGTCTGGAAATACTCCATGTTATTAATTTGTGGTGTGTTTTTATGCTTTTAATTTTTCTGTTATTTTTTGAGTGTATATTCTGGTCCTGATCAACTATTTCATTTTCACTGTATCTTTTCTTGATCAAATGAACTTAAACTTTTTTGTTTTTGTTATTATCAGCAAATCCCATGAAAAGACTGTAACCCATGTTACTCCCTCTATTAAAGCGACGCTTTTCTTTGTTTCGGTTAAAATGCTGTTAATAAGCTGACGGCACACTAAAATTTAAGTGAATTCCACCAGAGATAAAAACTCATAATTATACCATTCTCATATGGTTCTAAGAAAACTCCAACCAATCACTGCATTCGGACCGAATGCAGTGATTGGTTGGAGTTGGTTGGCGTCCTGTCTGTCTTCCCCACAAGGAGGCCTCTGACTGATGTAACCGTATCTGACGTTAGTTTGCCTCTAACATAGGCTATAACGTTATATATGACAACACAGCATCCAGTTGCCAATGGCTAACGTTAGCCTACTGTAGCATAGCCTCTGAAACATTAACGTTATCTTTCTTGTGCGTTTCCACTTACTAGTAACGTTAAGGCTACTATCGTTAACGTTAGCACTGTAACCTTATTCTAAAACTCATCAGTCATCACTGACTGCGGTTGAGTTTTAAAACTCCGGGGTTGTGTTTGACTGTCTTGGTTGTAACGTTACTCGTTCTCCTCTTCCGTGTATCTAACGTTACCATGCCAACGCCTACGTCTATCATAGACGTAATGAGGACATAATGGAGGAGGAGGGAGGGAGTTGGAGTTGCAGGAGGAGGGGGATGGGACTTTTTCTAAGTGCTGTGTGAAATGCAAGAAAGGTAAGAGTTGTTTTAATACTTTCCGACTTCTTGACCGTGTCTGAGACCTCATGTTATAGACTGTATGAAATAATGAAAGCAGCCACTGTGACATCAACCATTCATTTGTGGACCCATTTTGAAGCCTCAAATTTGGCATTTTGTTTTTTGGAGCCGGTAACCATATTTGGACGAGAGGGTGGAGCTGTGGGATGAATGAGGGGTGGATCTGACTGAGAGTCCAGAACTCCTGCCACTCAAAGCGGCCCTGCCTTTAATTATGTACACCTGTAAGCCTGAGTAGAATTAAAACGGGTGAGTTATACAAAAATCCAACCCCCTATACAGTCGTCAGGAATGTTGAAATTAGCTATAGAAACCAAAACTGTTTTTTGTACCAGGCTGTAAACATGTTTGTTTCTGCTGTGAGGCTGGGCATCTTAACGTGGAGGTCTGTGGGGATTGACTCGCTTTCAGAGCAACCTCAAGTGGCCATTAGTGGAACTGCAGTTTACAGCACTTCTGCGTTGGCTTCATTTTTCAGTTTTGGAGGCTGCTGCTTGCCCAAAACATTTATTTTTATTTTATCTTATTTTATTTTATTGTCTTAATAAATACCAAAATTGCCACACTTTGTGCTTTATAATGTAAATACAATAAAATAAAATAAAAATAAATAATTCACATAACAATAATAAGAAGAAATAAAATTCTTAAAATTAAAGGAGTAAATAAGGGAGGGATACCTTGGCTGAAACAAACTGCTCCCATTTGCTCTCAATGGCTCTCTCTTTCTTCAGCGTCTTTATCGTGGTCCTGCCTCGGCCAGGGTCTCTGCGAATGGAAAATAATTGCCGCTGTTGTGACACATTCATCACTCCGGTGACCTTCTGCGACTCGCCACTAGTCGAAACCGGCCTTCAGGGCGGAGACAGCTAGAGAGTCGCTCCGGCCATTATCAAAATCATAATTCATCTTATCCTAAAAACTGTGCAGTGTTTTAGATTGATGCCCGACATCAGAGCTGCCCGCCTGGTGGAGAGCCCAGCAGTGTCGTAACCTTGTGATAATGTTTCATTTCATCCTCTCCTTGTCTTCCTGTACAGTAATACCTCAGCTGTATCATTTGGCCCATAAAGCTTAAGACTTTCTGGGAAATTGGATTTGAAGCTGAGTGAAGGCCCCGGAGGCTGTAACACGATGACGTTCAGGTACAAAAAAATTCTCTTTGTAGCTCTTTTCCTCCCCGTCCTTCCGCTCTTTCCTTTTCTTTTTCATTTTTCTATCAATTATTCAAGGCTTACAGTGGTGTGCAATAATATTCCTGTGCTACATCCTACAAGGAGCCATTGCAACTGAGCGCGGTACAGTCGCCTTTAAACTTTATGAATTAATCTATTCTCCCAGTCCAGGTCTCCTCTGACACTTGGAGAGAGAGATCATAAAGATCATCATACATCAATATCAAGACAAGAAAAAAAAAGAATAAAAAGAAATACAGAGAGGGAGCCTTGGAAAGAAGTGGCTTTGAAGAATTAAAGCCGACTACAGATGCAATGCAACAGCAATCCTGTGGGTTAAACATGCGATTTTAAGCACCCCACAGCTGCTGCTTCTGCACTCTCTCTCCATTTCCTCTCTGTGGACACCCTGTGGTGGGTCAATATCACAGAAGCTGAAACCTGGAGGGGGGGGACAAAGATGGAAGAATGCAATCTCCTCACTAAGCCTGGACCCCCTCCGGAGCTTTGGACTTTATATTTCATCCAGCACTGTCAGCGCGTGCCTGCAGCTCCTGATCACCACAGACGCTTCATCACTGGCTCTCTACAGTACAGTGCAACGTCTCTTCAGGTGGCTCGCTTAAAAACAGTGCGGATCTGACAGAAGTTAGTCATCGGTCAGCGTGCAGAGGTCAGCGCTGTAATGAGCCGATCATTGATGGATATGTTGCTCATGCTGCTATGTTTTAGCCTCTTGACTGCGGCTCCAGGCGGTGGAATCACTCTTTAATAGTAAATGACAGTTAATGTATTATGTATGGAGCTTTTTCATGGTATGAAGACAGTCTGTGACATAATCCGAACGCTGTGTGCGTCTGTGTCACATTGCTCACAGTAAACGCACCATTATCCTGTCAGACGTGAACTCACTCTAAAATAACTGAAGGATTATCAGTTCATGAGAATATAACTTACGCAGGTGAGATTTTAACAAATACACACTGCATATTAAAAAGAATATTCTGGAAAACAAATTTCAGATGCACCTTAACTCTTTGAAAGAGTAAATCGGCTTGATTCCATTCATAAAACATGGGAAAAAGGCAATGAGCTATCAAAGAAGAAATGGCCCAAAAAATTAGCAAGAAATTAGTAAGAAGAGAAAATTAAAATAAAAAATTAATTAAAAAAAAATAAAATAAAAT